GGAGCTGGAAGGGAAGTGGAGCTGCTGGGATTAGAACCAGTGCCCATATGGGATCCCGGGCATGCAAGGCGAGGACCTTAACCACTTGTGCCACCGCGCTGGGTTCGGGCCCATTTTTTTAAAAAATTATGCATGAAGGGCCCGGCGGCATGGCCTAGCGGTTAAAGTCCTCTCCTTGAACACACCGGGATCCCATATGGGCGCCAGTTCTAATCCCAGTAGCTCCAATTCCCATCCAGCTCCCTGCTTGTGGCCTGGGAAAAGCAGTTGAGGATGGCCCAATGCTTTGGGACCCTTCACCCGTATGGGATACCTGGAAGAAGTTCCTGGATCCTGGCTTTAGATCGGCACAGCATTGGCCATTGTGGTCACTTAGGGAGTGAATCATTGGACGGAAGATACACTGTCCCTGGGACTCATGAACATGGCCCCCACTTGGCCCAGGCTGGCATGACTTGTATGACCTCAGCATCTGCAGTCATATTGCACAACCTGGCCTGGTCTATCCTGCCCCTGTTCCAGCTGGTGGGTGCTGCAGCCTGTCTCAGCCCACCCTGATGGTTATCCCAGCCCTAATGTGAACTGGCTGGTGTTGCGGCCCGATCTGGCTCCTCCTGCTCCCTGTCTTGGTTCTCAGATCTGCCAATGTGTTATGAGCTGGCCCAGACTGGTTTGTCCCCACACCTGACCAACATGTATGCTTGCCCGTTATTTGGGGTTTTTACAATATGGTGTGGGGTGGTTGTTTTTATTTTTGCATTTCTATTAATTTATTTGAAATGCAGAGAGAAAGAGAGACTCCTTTGCTAGTTCAGTTCTTAAATGCCTCCAACCTGTGAGGCTGGGCTGGGCTGAAGCCAGGATCTGGAGCTCAGTTTAGGTCTGCCATGTAGGTGGCAGGTTCTCAACGGCTTGAGTCAGCCCTTGCTGCCTCCCACACTGTACTGCAGCAGGTATCTCAGATCAGGGCTGGGCTAGACTGAGGTTCTTCACTCCGATGTGGGATGAGGGCATCTGAAGCAACATCTTGAGCACTGCAAAACATCCACTCCACAGTATATTTCAGTCTCTGGAAGATCTTGTCTTTGTTGTTTTTGTTCTTTCTCGTTTTATTTTTACATTGCTTTTCTATGTGTTTTAAAATTTTACTTCTATGAATATTTGTTTCTTAATAAATTTGATCTGCATTACTATTGTCAGTTGTCATTTTTCTATTATATCTTCTAGTTATTATGTATTTTAGCAGTTGAGTAACAGTCTGCATAGCATGTAGTCTACCCATTTAACGTGTACAATTTTGTGATTTTTGGAAGTTTTACAGAAAAATTCAACCATGATCACAATCAGTCCTAAAACTTTAATTGTATTCTAAATCAATCACTACCCTTCAGCGAATGTGTTTACAGATTACAAGTCTGCACAGGGTTGGTGTGTGTGTAGCAGTTAGGCTGCCACTTTTGCAGGAACTGCCACACACATTAGTGTGAGTTCAAGTTCTGGCTGCCAGTCCAGCACCCTGATAATGTGCCTGAGAAGGCTATGGAGCGTGGTCCAAGTGCTTCAACCCCTGCACCCACAAAGGACCTGAATGAAGCTCCTGGTTCTAGGATTTGCCTGGTCTAGTCCTTATCCTTGCAGCTATTTGGGGAGAGAACCAACAGATTGAAGATTCCTGCTCCCTCTCTCACTTTCTCTGCCCCTCTCACCATATCCCTTCCTTTCTATAACTTTGCGTTTCAAATAAATAAGACAAATCTTAAGTCTAGGACTTAACAGAGAGAGTTAAAGGATGCTGGGCACGTGTTGTGGCACTGAGGATTAAGCTGCTGCTTGTGATATTATGTGTCTATACTTTTGATGCAGCTTCCTACTAATGCAGCCTGGGAGGCAGTGGGTGAAGATGTTAAGGATAGTTCCACCTGTGTGGGAACCCTGGAGGGAATTCCTAGCTCCTGGGGTCAGCCTGGTCCAATCTTACTTGTAGCCATTTAGGAATGAACACGCAGATAGCATATCTTTCTTGTTTTTCTCTCTCTCCCTCTTCCCCTGCCTTCTTCCCTCTCCCCCCCCCTCTGCTTTTCAAGTAGATGAAAATTAGATTTTAACAAATTAAGATAGGACCCAGCGCTGTAGCCTAGTGGTTAAATCCTCTCCTTGCATGCCTGGGATCCTACACGAGTGCCAATTTGTGTCTGGCTGCTCCATTTCTCATCTAGCTCCATGCTTTTGCCCTGGGATAGCAGTCCAGGATGGCTCAAGATTTATTTATTTTTACTGGAAATGCAGATTTACAGAGAGAAGGAGAGACAGAAAGATCTTCCATCTGATGCTTCACTCTGCAGGTGGCTACAATGGCCGGAGTTGAACCGATCTGAAGCCAGTAGGAACCTCCTCCAGGTCAGACACCAGGGAGAGGCTCCAGGCTCCTGGCTCCTGGCTTCGGATTGGCTCAGCTGCTTCCACTTGCAGAGTGAACCAGCAGACAGATGCAAAATCTTTCTGTCTTTCCTCTATATCTGGCTTTCCAAGAAAAAGAAATACATTTTTAAAAATTAAGATAAAAAATTGGCTAATGACAGCAATACAAAAACCTAAAGAGCTTTGCATTATTTTCTGGAAATACTGATGTGAAGAAGCAATTAGTTGGCTTTAACACCTTTGAGCAGAGGCTAAGTTAAAGGTTTGTGCTTCTGGGGCCTGCATTGTGGTGTAAGTGCTGCCTTTGTTGCTGGCCAGTTTTTGTCCCGGCTTTTCCACTCGCGATCCTGCTAATGGCCAGGGAAACACAGCTGAAGATGGCACAGCTGTTTGAGCTCCTGCCACCCAGGAGGGAGACTTGGATGGTGTCCCTGGTTCCTGTAGCCGTATAGGGACTGGGTCTGTGGATGGTATATCAGTCTCTCCTCTCTCTCTTCCTTTCTCTCTGTAACTCTTTCAAATAAATATTTTTAAAAGAAGAAAAAATTTCTTTTTGTTGTATCTATGAATGGTTTTGTCTTTGATCTCACAGTGATGATCTCCTTAGAATGACTGAAAGTACTCAGCCAGCATCTTGTAGGACTTAGTACTTTTCTGCCTTTGTGAAAACTGTTAATAATCGCTCTATTATGAAAAAAGAATTACGAGATACTCCTGTTGCTGCCTAAACTCCTAGTGAGTAACCTGGTTGGACGTGTTTATTGTTAAATATTACACCGGGATGAATTTTCTGAAGTTTTATCTTTACAGTGATTAATGTAGTAATCAGTTACGAGCTGAGAGCTCTGGTGGGTTATTTTCTGCTGAGGAAAAGGGTCCAGTTGTATTATATGGATTTTGTAACCTGGTTGGCTGTAAGCAAAAATAGAAATTCTTCATGGCATGATTGCAGAGAAAAGAGCTATGAGGATTTATTGTAAATATTCCCCCAAAAGAGAAATCTAAAGGAACTGAGGCCTATGGAGGCTGTCACTGAGAGCTCACAGTGGCCGAGGTTGACTAGGTCTCTGTAAATCTGAACTGGATTCTCCTCTTGATAAACCTCATATGCAAACATAATAACTAAAATACAAAGGTACTCCAAAAAGCACATGCATTAAAAAAAAAAAAAAGGCAGGGCAGGCAGTGCTGTGTATCAACAGGCACTGGCATCCCATATGGCACCAATTGCCCATATGGGTCCCGGTTCATGTCCTGGTTGTTCCACCTCACATCCAACTCTCTGCTTGTGGCCTGAGAACGTGGTTGAAGTTGCCCCAAAGCCTTGGGACCCTGAACCCATGTGGGAGATCTGGAAGAAGCTCCCGGTTTTGAATTGGCTCAGCTCTGGCCATGGCGGTCATTTGGGGAGTGAAGCAGTGTATAGAAGATCTTTCTGTCTCTGCTTCTGTCTGTAAATCTCCCTGATGTGAAATATGTTTTTTTGCTGTTGTTTTGTTTTTAAAGCATATGGAAAATGGAATTCAAAGATAAATTTTTTTTTGCAAAGTATTTTTTTTTTTTTAAAGATTTATTTTTATTATTTTTTCATTGGAAAGGCGGATATACAGAGAGGAGAGACAGAGAGGAAGATCTTCCGTCCGATGATTCACTCCCCAAGTGAGCGCAACGGGCCGATACTATGCCGATCCGAAGCCGGGAGCCTCTTCCGGGTCTCCCACGCAGGTGCAGGGTCCCAAAGCTTTGGGCGGTCCTCAACTGCTTTCCCGGGCCACAGGCAGGGAGCTGGAAGGGAAGCGGGGCTGCCGGGATTAGAACCGACGCCCATATGGGATCCTGGCGCGTGCAAGGCGAGGACTTAACCACTTGCACCACCGCGCCGGGCCCTATTGTGTTTTAAATCTGAAAATCTCAAGTGTAGCTAACTTTGCATGATTGTAATTTTAAGTTGTCTTTAGAATTATGGAGAAGATTTTTTGAAAAAGATTTTATTTTTATTTGAAAGTCAGATATACAGAGAGGAGGAGAGACAGGAATATCTTCCATTCCATAATTCACTTCCCAAGTGACTGCAATGGATGGCGCTGTGCCAATCCAAAGCCAGAACCCAGGAGCTTCTTCTGGGTCTCCCATGCAGGTTCAGGGTCCCAAAACTTTGGGCCATCCTCGACTGCTTTCCCAGGCTGTGAGCAGGGAGCTGGATGGGAAACAGGGATGCCAGGATTAGCACGGGCACCCATATGGAATCCTGGTGTGTAAGGTGAGGACTTTGGCTACTAGGCTACCTTCCCGAGCCCAAGATTGTTTCTTTTATGAACATGTTTTTTTTTTTAAATACGATGTTTGATTTTTTTGTTTTAGAAAATGTGAAAATAAAAAACGGAATTATATGTTAATGTATAATATATATATGTATCTATAAAAATAATTTAAAATATTTGCAAAAACACCAACTCCAGTGCATGTAATATTTTTGTGTGCTTTTTTCTCTCCAAAGATTATTTACTTTCTCATTTAGCATTTTTATGTTGAAATATTCTAATTTCTTACTGATTTTTTTTTTTTTGCTTTTCCCCCTGTAGATCTTGAGCCAGATGATTGTGCATCTATTTACATCTTTAATGTAGATCCACCTCCATCTACTTTAAATTCACCACTTTGCTTACCACATCATGGATTACCGTCTCACTCTTCTGTTTTGTCATCATCGCTTCAGCTCCAAAGTCACAAAAACTATGAGGAAACTTGTGATATTTCTGAATCTAAATATAGCCCATTAGGTGGTCCCAAGCCTTTCGAGTGCCCAAGTATTCAAATAACATCCATTTCCCCTAACTGTCATCAAGAAACAAATCCACATGAAGATGACTTACATATAAATGACCCAGAAAGGGAATATTTGGAAAGGCCTTCTAGAGATCATCTCTATCTTCCTCTTGAGCCATCCTACCGGGAATCTTCCCTTAGTCCTAGTCCTGCCAGCAGTATCTCTTCTAGGAGCTGGTTCTCAGATGCATCCTCTTGTGAATCTCTTTCACACATTTATGATGACGTGGACTCAGAGTTGAATGAAGCTGCTGCCCGATTTACTCTTGGATCCCCTTTGACTTCTCCAGGAGGCTGCCCTGGAGAAGAGTCCTGGAATCAACAGTATGGACTCGGAAACTCCTTGTCACCCAGACAGTCTCCTTGCCACTCTCCTAGATCCAGTGTCACTGATGAGAACTGGCTGAGCCCCAGGCCAGCCTCAGGACCCTCCTCCAGACCCACTTCCCCCTGTGGGAAACGGAGGCACTCCAGTGCTGAAGTTTGTTATGCTGGATCCCTTTCACCTCAGCACTCACCTGTTCCTTCTCCTGGCCACTCCCCCAGGGGAAGTGTAACAGAAGACACCTGGCTTAATGTACACAGTGGATCAGGCCTTGGCACAGCACTTTTTCCATTTCAGTACTATGTAGAGACTGATATCCCTCTGAAAACAAGGAAAACTTCGGAAGATCAAGCTGCTGTACTCCCAGGAACATTAGAGCTCTGTGCAGACGATCAGGGGAGTTCATCACCATCACGGGAGACCACCCTAGAGGATGGCCTTGGATCTCAGTATCATTTAAAGAAAGATTCATCTGGTGACCAATTTCTTTCAGTTCCCTCACACTTTACTTGGAGCAAACCAAAGCCTGGCCATACCCCTATATTTCGGTGAGTTTTAGAAATGTCTGCTTGTCATTTTTCATGATTATGAATCATTGGTAGCCTGATAGTTTCACCTCTTTTTTCCTTTTTCTAAAAAATGTCCACTGAACAGAAAGCTTATTTGTATTTTTCTTTGAGTCTTCAAAGTGTTTTTAGGGGGGCTAACATTGATTATAGGTAAAGGTAATGAGTTGTAGATAAAAAGTAAATTTAAAATGTCCTAGAAGGAATTTTCTTGCCTAGAAAAATTTACTATAAAAGGCGAGTTAACGTATTAATTAATGTACAGATAAAACCAATTGAGATAGGCTTATTATTTTTTTAAAGACATTTATTCAAAAGGCAGAGTGAGCATGTTGGGAGTGGGGTGGTGAACAAATATCTTTGATCTTTGATCTGCTGGTTTACTCCCCATATGTCCACAGCAGCCAGGGCTAGGTTAGTCCATATGCAGAAGTCAGGAGCTCCATCTGGCTCTCCCACATAGATGGCAGAAATCCAAGTACTTGGGCCATGATGTGCTGCTTTCCCAGCCATGTTAGCTGGAAGCTAGATTAGAAGTGGAGCAGAGAAGAAATGCTGGAATTACAAGTAGATTAACTCACTATCCCACAGCGTTGGCTTTTACACTTTTAAAGAAGTCAAACTATGACTAAAATTTTGCCTTTCATGTTTCTGGCATTTTTTTCCATAATTTAAAAAAATTTCTTTAAAGATTTATTTTTATTGAAAGGCAGATTTTTGCGAAGAGGAAGACAAATCTTCCATGCTGTGGTTCTCTCCACATATGGGTGCATTGGCCAGAGCTGAGCTGATCCAAATCTGGGAGTAAGGAGCTTCTTCTGGGTCTCCCAGGTGGGTACAGGTGCCCAAGGACTTGTGCCATCCTCCACTGCTTTCCCAGGTGCATAAGCAGAGTTTGATGGGAAGTGGAGCAGCTGGGACACAAGCTAGTGTTCATATGGGAATCTGGCGCTTGCAGGTAGAGAATTGGCCTGTTGACTCACCATGCTAGTTCCAAATCTTTATACTTGTTTAATTAAAGAAGAGTTATTTATTTTTATTTGAAAGAGTTACGGAGAAAAAAGGAGAGATATAGAGATATTTTTTCATCTGCTGGTTCACTCCCTGAATGGCCACAACTGCCAGAGTTGGGCCAGTCTGAAGCCAGAGCCAGGTGCTTCTTCCAGGCCTCCCATGTTGGTGTAAGGGTTCAAGATCTTGAGCCATCTTCCTCTGCTTTTCCAGGTCATTAACAGGAACCTGTTAAGTCCAAGTGGAACAGCTGGACTTAAATTGGTACCTGTATGGGATGCTAAATCCACATGTAGAGACTTAGCTTGTTGGGCCACTGCACTAGCTCCCATAATTTGATTTTTATCCTTTGACTTTATAAATTAATGGCTTTTTTATAGTAGAGGAATTATTAACTTTTAAAGATTTATTTTTATTATTTTTTCATTGGAAAGGCGGATATACAGAGAGGAGAGACAGAGAGGAAGATCTTCCGTCCCATGATTCACTCCCTAAGTGAGCGCAATGGCCGATACTAAGCCGATCCAAAGCCAGGAGACTCTTCCGGGTCTCCCACATGGGTGCAGGGTCCCAAAGCTTTGGGCCGTCCTTGACTGCTTTCCCGGGCCACAGGCAGGGAGCTGGAAGGGAAGCGGGGCTGCCGGGATAGAACTGGCGCCCATATGGGATCCCGGGCGTGCAAGGTGAGGACCTTTAACTACTTGCGCCACCGCGCCGGGCCCTATTAACTTTTATATATTCAAATTTGTCCTTTATGGTTTTTGGATCTGGTATTTTTGAAGTCTTATTGCTCTTTAAAATTATTAAAAGGAAAAATGAAGTTTCATACAAATTTTTAACTGCTTTTTAAAAATTATTTATTTGAAAAGCAGAATGACAGAGAGAAACAGAAATCTTTTATTCACTCAATGCTCCACTCTCCAAACGGCTGCAATGACCAAGGTTGGGCCAACCTGAAGCTAAAAGCCCAGAGCTGCTTCTGTATCTCCCACAGGTCCCCAAGCACTTGGACCGTCTTCTACTGCTCTCCCAGGTGCATAAGCAGCAAGCTGGATTAGAACTAGAGCAACTGGAACTCAAATCCACAGGAATGTGGAATATCAGTCTTGCAGATGGTAACTACACAAAGTTGGACCCTCTAATTCAAGTTTTAGCGAGAATATATATGTACATGAATATTTAGACCTTGGGCCTGATGCGATAGCGTAGTGGTTTAAGTCCTCACCTTGCATGCATCGTGATCCCATATGGGCGCCGGTTTTAATTCCGGCAGCCCCGTTTCCCATCCAGCGCCCTGCTTGTAGCCTGAGAATGCAGTCTAAGACAGCCTAAAACCTTGGGACCCTGCACTTGTGTGGGAGACTTGGAAGAGCACCTGGCTTCGTAATGGCTCAACTTTAGCCCTTGCGCTGACTTGGGGAGTGAACCATCGGATGGAAGATCTTCCTCTCTGTCTCTCCTCCTCTCTGTATATACGCCTTTCCAATAAAAATCAATAAATCTTAAAAAAAAAATGTACCTGAATATTTAAACCTTAAAACTGTTTAAAATATCTTCCTAAGCTAAAAGAAACTCAAGTGTTAGGAAGATGCTACAGTGATGCATTTCCTTGTATTTTTCCATCAAACATGTCTTCAAAATAACTTTAACCTCAAATTGCAAATGTCCCTAAATATAGGTAGTTTTCAGAAAGGCTTAGAAAAGATCATTTGGCAAGAAGTGGGGAAAGCAATCTATATGATAGACTGAAACAGACCATAACAGGAAAGAGAGGTAGGCAAGCTACATCAGGCCAAGAGAGATACATGTTTAGACATTTGGAAAGGTGCTGATATAAGCACACAGAAATATATATCTGCCATAAGAGACTAAGTTATTATTGTTCGGTTTTTATAATTACATACACATAGTTGAGAAACAGTTACAGTTTTACAAATTGTTGGAATTTATTTTAAAAACAGGAGAAATCAAAATGTCAATAAATATATTTTATATTTTCAGATTAAATAATTATTTGTTAAGTACCCATTTGCAACCAGTGTTTTGTATGCTGAGTGAAATTTCATCCTGGAATGTTTCATTTCGAAGATCACAGAAAGAAATGTTGCTGTTGGCAAAAAGTGATTTGAGTCACTGCTTAGCAGTCATCTCTGTGTTTTGTTTATAGCACATCCTCATTACCTCCACTAGACTGGCCTTTACCAACTCATTTTGGACAATGTGAACTGAAAATAGAAGTGCAACCCAAAACCCATCATCGAGCCCATTATGAAACGGAAGGTAGTCGAGGGGCAGTAAAAGCATCTACTGGGGGACATCCTGTTGTAAAGGTATGAGACTTTTGAGGCTTGCTTTGCAGCTGCTTGTTAGTTGTTAGATGATTTTGTCAAGTTAGCTATTACAGAAGCCAAAGAGAACTCAAACTAGGAGCCCTGTTTTTTGGGTACACTTTAATTTGCTTGTTTATTTTTAAGGTTTATGTATTTTACTTTGAAAGTCAGAATTACTAAGAGAGAAAGAGGAATCTTCCACCTGTTGATTGACTTCCCAAATGACTGCTATGGCCAGAACTGGACCAGTTCGAAGCTGGGAACCAAAAGTTTATTGCAAGTTTACCATGTGGATGCAGGGGCCCCAGGATTTGGGCCATCCTCTGCTGCTTTCCCATGGCCGTTAGTAAGCAGCTGGATCAGAAGTGGAGCAGGAGCCAGCATGGTGGCATAACAGGCTAATCCCATGTTTATAAGTGTCAACATTCCTTATGGATGCCAAATTGTGTCCTGGCTGCACTACTTCCACTCCAGCTCCCTGCTGGAGAATGACTCAAGTCCTGGAGCCCCTATACCATGTGGAAGACCAGAGGAAGCTCCTGGCTCCTGGCTCAGCTCCAGCCATTGTACCTATTTGGGGTGTGAACCAGAGGGTTGAAGCATTTTTCGTAAAAATTATCTTTCAAATAAAATAAATTATTCTTAAAAAAATATGAATGGAGTAGAGCAGCCAGTCATGAACCAGTGCACACCTGGGATGCTGGTGCAACAGGTGTAGGGTTAGCATACTCTGCCACCATGCTGGCCTCAGGGCTACATATTTTTCAGTGATTTTTCTCCCTACTCTTGGTGAGGCTAGAAGATACTCCTGATTTAATTGCGGGTGCAAAAGCTAGAGTAAAGAAGATTGGTACCATAATCAAATGGTTATTTTTTTATTTTTAGAAAGAATGAATTTAATATGTTTATAAATGTAATATGTATTTCTTTAAACTATAATACATAAAGTAGGAAAATAAACCAGTCAAATTCCCTCAGAAATAAACACTGCTGACATTTGATTAATTCAGATATAAGTGAAAAACTACTTGGAGAAATAGAAAAATGGATGAACTTTTAATGAATAGGATTGTATTTTAATAAATAAACTATTTGTTTGAATTTATTACAAGAAGATAAGATGAAATTTTATATGAAATATAACACTTGAATATTAACTTTAAATTTATTTGAATGAAAAATAACATTAAAGGAAAAGCTAAAATAAAACTTAAGAACTGCTGAATCTTAGGTACTTTTTTTTTCTTTTTAAAAATTTTTATTGGAGAGACAGAAAGATCTTCCACCGGCTGGCTTACTCCCCAAATGGTCACTACTGCAGGAGCTGAGCTGATCCAAAACCAGGAGCCAACAGCTTCTTCTGCCCACTCCCCCACTGCTTTTCCCAGGCCACAGAGGGAGCTGAATGGGAAGTGGGGCTACTGGGACTCTAACCAGTGTCTGGGGATCCCAGGGTGTGCAAGGCAAGGACTTTAGCCATTAGGCTACTGTGCATGGCCCCAGTTTTCTCTTCTGTTGGTGATACTTTATATCCTTTTCAAGACCTTTGCTTATACCAAGGTTATGAAGACAAGCACCTGTGTTTTATTCTGGAATTGTTTCCTTGCAAAGATTTACTTATTTTTTTAAAAGATTTATTTTTATTATTTTTTTTTATCGGAAAGGCAGATGTACAGAGAGGAAAGACAGAGAGGAAGATCTTCCATCCGATAATTCACTCCCCAAGTGAGCGCAATGGCCGATGCTATGCTGATCCAAAGCCAGGAGCCTCTTCCGGGTCTCCCATGCGGGTGCAGGGTCCCAAAGCCTTGGGCAGTCCTCGACTGCCTTCCCGGGCCACAGGCAGGGAGCTGGAAGGGAAGCGGGGCTGCCGGGATAGAACCGGCGCCCATATGGGATCCCGGGCGTGCAAGGCGAGGACCTTAACCACTGCGCCACCGCGCCGGGCCCAGGGTGCCATTTCTTGTTCTGGCTGCTCCACATCCTATTCAGCATCCTACTTGTGGCCTAGGAAAGAAATAGAGGATGGCACAAGTCCTGAGGACCCTGTGCCCATGTGAAACACCTGGAGAAGATGCTGGCTTCGAATGGGCTCATCTCTGGCTGTTGCAAACCCTTGGGGAGTGAATCAGTGGATGAAATATTTCTCCCTCCTCTTTTATTTGCAAAATTTGATTTTCCAATAAAAATAAGTTATAAATCTTTATGAAAAATGATTGTTTTGATGTCAGGGTTCTTGGTTTTTTCTTTTTTTTTTTTTTTTATTTTTTTGTATTGGAAAGGCGGATATACAGAGAGGAGAGACAGAGAGGAAGATCTTCTGTCCGATGATTCACTCCCCAAGTGAGCGCAATGGCCAATGCTATGCCAATCCGAAGCCAGGAGCCTCTTCTGGGTCTCCCACGTGGGTGCAGGGTCCCAAAGCTTTGGGCTGCCCTCTATTGCTTTCCCAAGCCACAAGCAAGGAGCTGGATGGGAAGAGGAGCTGTTGGGGCATGAGTTGGCATCCGTATAGGATCCCTGTGCATGCAAGGCGAGGACTTTGGCCACAAGGCCACCACGTGTGGCCCTGTGTTTTTTTTTTTTTTTTTTTTAACTTATTTGTCTGACAGAGAAACATGCAGAGCTCTCATCTGTTAGTCCCTTATCAAATGCTCGCATCAGCTGGAACTGGGCCATGCCAAACCCTGGAGCTGGGCACTCATTTGAAGTGCTGCCTGGGCCTTCCTAGTTCAGCTGTCAATTGCTGCCTCCCAGGAAGCTGAAACTGGCAGCCAAGCTTGGACTTGAATCCAGACATTCCTGGGTGGGATGCAGGCATCTTAAGCAGCCTCTTAGCCACTGTGCTAAATACCTGCCTCTATTTTGTTGTTTTTAGAGTGTTTCTCAACAGTGTTTTAAAGTTTCCAGTGTAGAAATTTTAACATTTGCCATTTGCAGGTATCTGATTTCTTTGTTATTGTAAAGTGTTTTTAGTTTCATTTTGAAGTATATAGAAATGTGACTTTTTAAAAATATTGATATTTAGCTTTTTCAGTGTTTCGGGTTTTTCGTTTGTTTGTATGTTTGTTTTAGCTTTTTCAGTGTTTTAAAAATGTTTACTCAAGGATCTGGAGCATGGTATTCTAGTGGCTGAATCCTCATCTTGTACCTGCCAGGATCCCAAATGAGTGTAAGTTTATATCCAGGCTGCTCCACTTTCCATCCAGCTCCCTGCTTGTGGCCTGGGAAAGCAGTCGAGGACTGCCCAAAGCCTTGGGATCCTGCACCTGCATGGGAGGCCTGGAGGAGGTTCCTGGCTTTGGATTGGCTCAGCTCTGACTGTTGTGGCCACCTGGGGAGTGAACCATTGGATGGAAGATCTCTGCCTCTCCTTCTCTCCATAAATCTGACTTTCAAATAAAAATAAATAAATCTTTAAAAAATTTAGTCAAATCAATTTTAACTGATGTGTTTTACTTCTTCCTTTTTAATCTTAAGAGGTTAATATTACATTTGGTTATTTAAGAGCCCAGCGAGTAATGCTGTGTTTGCTGTTTTGCTTTCCAAATGCTTGCAGTAGTTTTGACTGGGTGAGACCAACAAGGAGCCTCAAACTCCAGCTAGGTCTCTTGTGTTGAGCTATCACCTTCAGCCTCCCAGCATGCATTAGCAGGAAACCTGAGAAGAAGCTTAGCGGCCAGGCCTTAAGTCAGGAATCCCAAGTGGTGGCTTTGTTTGCTGTGCTACAGTAACTATTCCCTTTTGAAATCTTCATGCAGTTTTTCTTTTTTCTTGCTTGCTATATTGACTTTGACCTCTATTACACTGTAGATGGAACTGGTAATAGAGGACAATCTACATCTTTTTCACAAACTCGGGGTAAAACATTCACTATTGGCTCATTAAGTAATTTGTTAGCCATAGACCTTTTTATGGATGTCAGGCCAACTTCTGTTGCTTTTTCCCAGGCATATTAGCAAGGAGATGGATAGGAAGTGGAGCAACTGGGACTCAAACATGGTACCCATAAGTGAAGCTGGCACTTCAGGCAAAGGTTTAAGATACTATGCCATGATGCCAACTGCTAAAATTTAATTTGAAAGTACAAAGAAAAGGAATGCTTTCATATGCTGATTTTCTCTCAGTATGTCCACAGTGACTGAGACTGAATTAGGGCTGGAGCTGTAAGCAAGGAGCTAGGAAATAAATTTTAAAAACCCTTGAGTCACCATCTGCTGCTTTCCAGAGTCTGAATGGACAGGAAATTGAAATTGGGAAGCAGACCTGGGACTCAAATCCAGGTACTCTTGCATGGGATATTGGCAGCTTAGCTGGTATCTTGAAACTGCTAGGTCAAACATCTGCTCTGAGAGGTTTTGCGGGGGGTTTTTTTTTTTTTTTGGTCTTTTTTTTTAATATTTATTTTTTTAAAAAGTTACAGAGAGAGGGAGGGTGAGAGAGAGAAGAAAAATCAGTCTTCCATCCACTGATTCACTCCTCAGGGCTGGGCCAGGCTGAAGCCAGGAACCCAGAAGTTTCTTTCAGGTCTCCCACATGGGTACGGGGGCCCAGACAGTTAGTCTGACTCCCAATACTTTCCCAGGTGCATTGGCAGCGAGCTGGATCACAAGTTAAACACCTGGGACTCAAAACTGGTGCTTTTATGGAGCAACTTAGCCCAGCCTGGCCAACCCCCAGGCCTGGTCCTCATGTGAGTTGCTGGATATTTATGACTCAGCCTAGCCTGGCCTGCACCCCCTCCTGGCTCTCATTCATGCCAGAGTGTGTGCTGTGAACTGATCCAGCCTAGCCTGGCCTGGCTTGGTCCCAGCCCCAGCTGACAGGCTCACCACAATGAATTGTGAACTAGCAGAGGAGTTCCCCAAGTTCCCCTACCAGGCCTGCTTACAGCCTCAGATATGCATGTGCTAGCAGATATGTATATATCCCAGTCTAACATGGTCCCCCCATGTCCTGGTACTTACCAGCAGGTACTGTGGTCTAGCCTACCTAACCCT